ATGTTTCCGTGGCACTGCGTCATCTATTACTCACAGATCTATGTCCACTGAGGAACAGCCCAAACCCCAGGAGGTATTTTCATGGTCTGCTTTATGTTCTTCTTTGACAAAAAAGTCATTTTTTCCCCACTTCTCTTTTTAAAGGTTTTCATCCAATAAACATATACTAATGAACTAAGTCAGAGTACCTCTCCAGTACTCAGGGATTCATCCATCCACCTGCACATCTCAGAGGTGAGGTAGCTTCAGAGCAAACATCCATCCATCTGTCCGTCCATCCCCCACTCCTCCACGCTGTCATGCTAAGTGAGCCCCCCTACCCCCTCATTAACGAGCTCTTCAGTAGCCTGTCATGGCGGATGTGCTCCATCAAAGCTGATCGACTCCCCGTTTTTCCAGAAAGATGTCGCAGGTTATCACCGCGTGCTCAGATCTCCGGCTACGAGAGGAGCGTGACTGGCAGCCCGTCTTTTGAAGACAGTGATTCCTCCACTGATGCCTCCCAGTTGGAAATTTAGAATCGTGTCTGCTAAGACAGCGTATGCAAAGTAAATGACTGTACAGGGGTGAGCCCGACTAGAAACCCACCTCTCCTCCAACATCCTGGCCTTCATGCCTCACAGGTAACCTGCGCTCGCTCAAGGTTGACTCGTTCCCCATTAAAAAAAAAAAAAAAAAAGGCACATGCGCATCACAGACAAATCTTCCACATAAACGTAGAACTGACCATGGAAGACAAACACCAGCGTGTTGTTTTTTAAACGCTTCACTGTGAGCCTTTATCCTCTGACCTAATGGGAGATTCAAATTTTCTTCTACGGTTCAAATGTGTGTGACAGCTACTGTGTGTGCTTGGTAAATCATAGGAATTGATGATGACAATGCTGATTGGTCTACTTAGCGAATGAGGCCAATTAGGATTTTCTTTGTCTTTGATGCACTCTCTCTCTCTGCCTGTCATCGGGGATCACGCTCACTCTTCATTCAGAGATTTTAATGCATAACTTCCTGTAGACTTTCCAGGATTTTAAACATGAAATGCAGGTTTTAATACCGGTTGCGGCCCCGACTGATGACACAGCATCGTTGGTTGTTTGATTCAGACTGGTTTTAATGACAGATTTTACACACGCCAGAAGAGCTGGCCGGAGCCTAACTGAAAATACAGGAAGTACTGTACCATACATAGATCCTGCTCAACAGGAAAACAGGCCATGAAGGACATCACACATAGTCACAAACAGATTCAATGCACAGCGACAATTCCACACGACCCCTGACATCAATCACCGCAGCTCCATCTCCACCACACATGCAGACACAGACAGGCGCACACCCATGCATGTGTGGCCGCAGCCCCCGTGACTCCTGCGAATAATGGGCGGCATTGTCAGGTCTTTGTGAGCACAAACACCAATAAAATGGTTGACGGCGCTGATGGGCGCAAAAGAAAAGACAGATAAAGGTCTGAGGAGAGAAAGGAAGCCATTCTGCAGGGACTGGTGGTCTGTACAAAAGAAGAACATGGCTCCTCTTATGACAGCCATACAGTGGAGCATGTGTCTGTGTCTTTCTGGCAGAGGCAGGCAGCTCTCTGCCTGGGCCACCGCGCCTCTGTTTGCTGAATAAAGCAGAAGATTTATTGGAGTTCTTCAGCACAGTCATTGTGGACTTTTCTTGGGTGGATGCCATGATGGCAGCGTCCAATTAAAGACGCACAAATGTCCGTGAGTGTGGACAAGTCAGAGAAGAGACGGTGAAGAGTCTCCTGGAACCGTAGGTGACTAGGGGTCACTAACTATATTTGTCAGAGGTCCAGACACTTAAATAAAACGAAACAAAAATCTAATTTTTCTCTAACATTATTATTTGATGTTTATTTTGGAATCTAGTTGTGGGCCAGAATGGACATTCTGGTGGGTCGGATTGTGACCGCAGGCCATGAGTTGATAATCGTTGGCATTTTTTTATTATTGTGTCATATGGTATCGTACAGAGAAGCCTGTTTTGTTTTGTTTTTTAAACAAATAAATTCCTCCCAAAAACGTCCGCTACAACAAGAGCTCAGCAGACGAGATGACGCAAGACACACCGTCTTGTGTCAAAGATGATTCCTGTAGAAAATAAGTCCAGCTGATGAAATAAAAGACCAAATCCAGCCCTCTACTGTACGATCATTCCTGGGATCCTCACTCCGTCAGAGCGAGGCTCAGCAGAGACAGGATCTACATGTGATCGGAGAGGAAGACTGGCCGGACAGGAGACGAGGACGGGTGTAGGAAATGAACAGGGGGAGGACACCGGGGGGACTCCGGACATTCTCGGGCAAACAGGAGAAGGCTTGAAAATCATTTTTCAGACATCAAATAATTAATTGCCCTCCCCTCTCCCCAGTGCTGCTCTCATGGCGTCTGCATGGAAGACACAGCCCCAGTCACTTAAGGAAGGTTAACACCCCTGTAAATTAAATATTAAAGGTGTCTGTACCTGCTGCTATTGTTGCCCCCTGGAATAAGATATAACCTATTTTTGACAAGTTCTGAGTCTGAGTGGAGAGACGCTGCACGGAAACCAAATCAGCAAATGGGGGATGAGAGGGGGGAGGGTGGGGTTGATGAATAATCCAGCTTGTATTGTAAAGAGAAAGAGATGGGAATAGATTGAGGGGAGAGAACGGCAGGATGAGAGAGATGGACTGAGAAGATGATGGAGATAAAAGCCAGGACTGGAGGAGGGGGGGTAAGATGGGTAACGGGGGGCAAACGGGGAAGAGCAGGGGAGGCAGATCATAGATGATGTCTACCAGGGTATCACATGACAGTGCTCCTGTTTAAATAATAAAACAGGACGGAGGGAGGGGGCGCTCTAAACAAATCGTTATCTCTCCACCTCTGTGCGTCCTGCCTCCCCTCGCTCCTCCCCCTCTCTATTTGCCCACTTTCATAAACTTGTCTTAATGCCGTTTGTTAATGAACATAATAGCTCGGCGCTAATAATGAAAAGAAAATAAAAACATTGAAAAACGCGCGGGGGCCCCCGAGTTGTCGCCGGCGCACAATTATTTCCTTGTCAAGTGGGTCTGTTTTTAATGAGGCCCTGTGGGACTGACGTCTGTCAGTCAGCCCTGACTTTTTGACACCATTACAACTTCAAATAGAAGCCGCCGCCACGCTGCTTTCCACCGCTCACTCACTACCTACCGCTCCGCTCATCTGACAGGCTGGGAGTGGAGGAAGGGAGGGAGAGGAGGACAGGGAGGAGGAGGAGGAGGAGGAAAGGTGGCAGGAGGGGTAGAAATGGGGCGAGAGGCAGAAAGACAGAGAGGTAAACAGAGAGGATGAAAAGAGAGTAGGTTGGATACACACTCACACAGGGTTTTGTCTATAGTGAGCCACTTCACATGGACATAATGTATTTCCCTAACTCCTTATACACAATCGTTACCCTTAATCTAATCTGACCCTAATCCTAATCCCACATCCAAACTGAACCATGAACCTCAAAATACATTCTCACTCACTGGGGACTGGGGAAAGGACAAGGGTCCTAAAACAATATTTGTCCTCAGACTGTGCAGCTACACCAACATCTCACACACACACACACACACATACAGTAGCTAGAAAAACAATCTGTTCTGGTCGTCACCACATGAGGAGATTGTACCCCCTCTCCCCCCACCTGGGTGATTCCTTGTAGCCTTCCTCCTTTTCCGCTCTCTTCCTGTTTCATCATCCGTACACTTTAATGATAACTCTTGGTGGGTCGGCCCCGTGTGGGCCGGTCAGAGACACACTATTTTGTCGGCCATTATTTTTACGCTTTGAAGCCGACTGAGGCACTGTGGATGGTGAGGGCCTGTGAAATGGTGGTTGGTAGGAGGTTGTGTGTGTGTGTGTGGGTGTGTGTGTTCTCATATATGAACCCCCCCCCCTGCCTCCCCGACTCTGCCCTATCTTCTAAAATGAGGACTGTGGCCCTTAAACAGAATAGTAAATGTCCTTGCTGGGAACCACTACACCGACCAAAGGAGACCCCAGCACACTCCACCAGTCTCCTGTGTGATAAGTGTGTTTTTGTAGTGCGCACATCATTACTAATGTGTCTCACCTACCACCCCGATCCTCCGCCCCCCCCCCCCACCAAAAAAAAATCTCTTCAATTCAGATTTTCTCAAGACCCCCTGAAGAATGGCTTTCCCCCTGAAGAACTGAACAGACGTGATGTCACGCACATGTTTTTCAAACAGCCGCACATTCATCACAACATCGGCTGGTACACAGATAAACAGAGGCAGGAGGACTGCAGCACGATCCTCAGAAGTTGAAAAGGAGAAAAAAAAAAAAGAACATACAACAGAAAGTACAAGTTTGGATCCATTTATAAGAAAAAAAAACCCCAAAGACAAATAAAATCAGTAAACACACAAAAGACGCGCACCAAACAAAGAAGAACATTTTTGTTGGTCCTGGTGTGCGCTCTGTGTCTGTCTAATCAATAAACACACAAGAAAATCAAGAAGAAAACACGGTTGATGTTAATTCTGAGAAGCCGTTTAACTTCGTCAGGTACACGGTTCTAACACAGACACTGTAATCACCACAGAACCCAATGAAACCGGTTAAAACTCATTTACAAATAAATAACAGAATCAAGTGTTAGTACATACAGTTATGATCAGAGATACAGGACTGAGGGTATTTATATGTGCTGGGCAAAATATCAGAGCAGGAAACGACTCTCTGGTTGATCAGAGATCCGTTTAAAAAAAAAAAAAGAAATTGAATCTTTGACTTTTAATGAACCAAACTGACCTCACCCTCTTCATGATCATCCTCTGGGGGCAGCAGCACCACAGGTCTATTTCGGGCTCTGCTGAGCGTTTTAAAAGTGAAGTGTCAACAACTTATCTTATCTGAAGGCGACGTCCA